CTGTCACTTAACTGTTTTATCTAGAAAGATAGTAAAATAACTTCTCCCGCAGCTAATGGCAGCCATTTTCCAAAAAAGATGGGATGAGCATAACATGCCAATCCCTCTGAAGAAGCCATTAACTAAGTAGATGTTTCTAATCTAAATGATGCCACATTCCTTTATAACCAGGCATTTAAAGTGTCTTGGAAATGATCTTGTCCCAAGTCAGGACATCAACTAGTTGATGAATTACATTGCTTCCAGCTCTGAGATTCCCATTACTTGGGCCATGGTTGCATGGCTCCAGAGTGGAACAAACTTGAAACAATAGAATTGAGATTACTCTTGGTTTTTAATTTGTACTTTATACTCTTGCCATTAATTTTCACAAGAAGCAAAAAAAAGCAGAAGTAAATGACAATAGGGGAAGAGGAATGGTCATTCAAAATGTGCATTTGTGAATCTCAAAACCAGGCCATGGTGTGCCATGGAACAGAAATCTTAGACAGTCATCTGTCTTGCCTGGTAACACAAGGCACATTTAATGTGGCCAGGCCTCTAGTTCTGCTGACATGACGTGCTGATGATAAGTCTTGAAGGCTTAGATTCAGTAGAGCCACATAGAATCACAGGGGTCCAGTGAATGAAAAGTTTCTGCAAGCTTATCAGCAGAAAGATAGCAGAGAGGTTCTGCTTCTATTACCAGTGTTCTGAAGATGTTTATCACCCAACCTTCTGAGAACAGTAGTTTGACCCACACCAAACACTTCAGAAACAATGTCAACACACCCAAGACCACAGCCAGCAAGGAATTTTCTGAGATAAGATTACAACCTTTTCCTTAAAGGGATGCCAACCAAGTTAGTCGATCTCCTAATATTCCCTGAGTATAGCAACCCTATGAGTTATCCTTCATACCGGAGAATTTTAGAAGCTCAATTTTTATGCTTCCAAATACAAATATTCTGCCGCCATTTTCCAAATTATGCACAAAACTCTAGCAATATCTAAAAAAGTTCCAGCAGGGTCAAGGCTCAGAAAGCCTGAGATTGGTGCCCATGAGACCAGCCAGCTGTAGCCACTGGAGACAACTGTCTATTGGCAAAAGCATCCATTCACCTTTCCTTCCTTCCTTCCTTCCTTCCTTCCTTCCTTCCTTCCTTCCTTCCTTCCTTCCTTCCTTCCTTCCTTCGTTCCTTCCTTCTTCTCTCTTCTATTTTCTCTCTTTTCTCTTTTCTTCTTTCTCTTGCTCTGTTGCCCAGGCTAAAGTGCAGTGGCGTGATCTCAGCTAACTGCATCCTCCACCTCCTAGGCTCAAACTGTTCTCATGCCTCAGCCTCCCAAGTGGCTGGGATTTTAGTCATGTGCCACCATGCCTGGCTAATTTTTTTTTTTTTTTTTTTTTTTTTTAAGAGCCGGAGTGTTGCCATTTTGGCCAGGCTGGTCCTAAACTTCTGGCCTCAAGTGATCTGCCCACCTCTGCCTCCCAAAGTTCTGGGATTACATGCATGAGCCACCAAGCCCAGCCATATCCTTTCACCCTGTTTCAAGATTTTATTTCTTCTCTGTTGGCTACATGTAGACCAGAGGGCCTCCTGGGTAGATTAGACCTCTAGTCTAGGTGTAGGGCAAAGTCATTATAGGAAAAGGTGACTCAGTCTTTGAGTAGATATGAAAAGCCACTGTAATAATTTGTTTAAATACCTAGTCCTGTGTTTGATTTAAGTATCAGTATGCAAACTGGCACTGTCGGGGCCTCTGTGCGGGCAACGTAGAGCTGGTCAGGTATTCTCCCAAGACCATGGTGATGATGAGAAGCAGCAGCATACACAGAGACAACTCACCTTTGATTTGTTCAGATGCTAATGGTATCACTTCTTGCTTTGAAGTGTCTCACGTTCATTTCTTTGTATTCCCTGTGCACAGCCCTAGTGTGGCTTTCTGGGTTCTAATTCTTCCTTCCCAGGGCTGTGCTGTGTATAGTTGCCAAGATTAATTAAAAACAAAGCAACAACAACAAAAACCCTTTTTATGTCATTTCCCAGTAGTCTCATAATAAAGTTTATACTCCTCTGGTTTATTATTGAATGTCCTCACAAATTTTTCTATCCAGGTTCTCTTTCTCCACTAATCTTTATTTCACCCAAAGGATCTATTACTGGCTGTTAACCTATTTTTCATTTTTCCTGCCTCTGTGCTTTTGTTCCTGCTGTTTCTCCCTTTTGGAATTCCTTCGCCCTTCTATTCAGATACAGCTCTTCCATTAAATCTTTTCAGATCAATCCCGCCTCCACTGATCTGACCCTTCTCTGAACTCTGCTTACTTGTCAGCTAAAGTCCATACCAGCCCTCTGGCAATTAATCACATACAGCCTTATGAATGTATCTTTATTTTGCGTGCTCAATCTTGCTTTTTCATTTTCTCTCTCTCTGCTTCTCTTTTCCATTGTGTATGGATGTCTATGTACAGCTAGGTAAGAGGTCTATGAAAATAAAAATCTGTCTTGTATATCTTTAGAATAGATGACCTAATCGGTGCTCCATGACATAATTGTTACTTAGGAGTTCTCACTGAGGATCTTGATTTGCATGCCGATGCTCCTGTGCAACTTTCGAATGTCGGGGGATCCCAGCTTTCTCAATACTAGCAGGAACAAGAACAGCATCCCCAAGCACGGAGAGCTAGGAAGACATCTGAAGTGGACTTAAAGGGCTTTCTTTTGAATAACTCAAAACTGTTCTGTAAAGCCACGGTAGGTAGATTCTAATTCTGATCTCCTCCAAGTTTAATGAGTATTCAGAAATCAAGGATTTAGGGAAAATTAAATAAAGTTTGCTCAACGTGTTTTCCTGCATGCCCACATCTGCCACATGCCTGTTCTCGCCTCTCTATTCTTCCGTGGCAGTGAGGCTTTCCCTGGACTTGCTCTTCCTCCAGCCTCATCCCTAACCCCATATCCAGAGGGAACCTAGAGAACTGGGCGGGGGGGGGGGGCGTAGACATGAAAGGCCCAGTAGTGTTTGTTTGTTTTGAGATGGGGTCTCCCTCTGTCACCCAGGCTGCAGTGCAATAGTGCGATCTTGGCTCACTGCAACCTCTGCCTCCTGGGTTCAAGTGATTCTCCTGCCTCAGCCTCCCGGGTAGTTGGGATTACAGGCATGTGCCACCAAACCTGGCTCCAGTAGTGTAGTTTAGTGCTCAAGTCTGGCTGTCTGGAGTTCAGTTTTCACCTTGCCCCTATGAGCTGTATGTCCTTAAGCAAGTTAACTCTTTAAGTCTGCAGTTTCTTCTTCTGTAAAATGAGGACAATAACAGAACCTACCTCATAGAGTTATACGGAGAATGAAATGGTAGTCCACATAAAATGTTCAGGCTATTGCAAGCATATTATATGATTGAAAATAGTCACTATATGGCATACGGTTTACAAACAATATGCTGAGATTTAAAAAACAAAACCAGACAAACTCTTGTGCTCCAATCACTATGCCTTCAAAACAGTACAGGAATTCTCTATACTCTGTCTTGTTTCTTATACCCATGCTCTTGCATCCTCTCTAATTAGGCCGTGGCCCCCTCCATTCCACTACAGCTGCTTTTTTCAAAGTCACCGATGATCTCCATGTTGCTCAGTTTTAAGACTTAATTCTTAGGTCATCTCTCCTGACCTATCAAGCAGAATTTGACACAGCTAATTTCTCCCTTCGTAAGACATTTTCCACGTGAAGCTTCCAGAACACCTCACCCTCCTGGTTTTACTCCCACCTCACTGGCTACTTTCTGGTCCTCTCGTCTTCCTGCTTCTGGCTTAGTCCTTGGACTTTGTCATTATCCATATCCACGCCCCTCACTGATCTCACCCAGCTTCATGGCTTCAACCCCATCTCTCCTCTGACAACTCCGCAATTATCTCCAGCTCACCAGCACTTTCTCCCCTGAGCTCCAGACTTGATGGCAAGCTGCTGTTCAATTTCTCCACTCAGGTATCTAATGGGCATCTCAAAGATGTCTAAAACTAAACTCCTATATTCCCTCCCCGAATCCTGTTCCTCCTGTGTTCTTCCACATCTCAGAACCCTGTCCTAACCTCAGACCCAAAACCTGAGTTACCTTTGACTCTTCTTTCATATCTCATGCACAGTCTGTCAGCAAATCATATTGGCCCTTCCGGCAAAACATCTCCAGAATCTGATCACTTCTAACAACCACTAGGACCACCCTCCTTCTAAACTACCGACATCCGTCACCTGGAATAGTGCAGTAGCCTCCCAACCAGTATCCCTATTTCCACTTGCCCTCAATATAGAAACCAGAATGACCTTTAAAAATATAAGCCATATTTATCACTCTGGCTCAGAGTCTTCCAGTGGGTTTTCACTCCAGGTAAAAGCCAGAGGCATAACACTGGCCCACCACATGCTTGTTGACCCAGCTCCCGGCAGCTTTTCTGACTTCCTTTCTTACTGATCCCCCCTGGCTTACTCCACCAAGGCCACCCCAGGCCTTGCCTTGGGCCCTTTGTGTTTCTCTTCTGTCCAGAAGGCCCTTCGCCAGATGGCGTCACCACCACTAGGCCTTGGCTCACATGTCATGTCATGAGACTGTCCCTGACCAACTGTTCAACCTGTACCCTCTTTTCCAACCTCAGCATTCCCTAATCCCTTTCCCTACTTTATGTTTTGATGTAGTACTTCTCACCACCTGTCATACTTTTCATTTTGCTTATTTTATTGTTATAGTCTATTATATGTGTTTCCCACCAGAATGTAAACTCCACGAAGGCAGGAGTCTCTGTCTTCTGCCCACTCCTGTATGGAATGGTGCTTCATACATTAAAAATTGAGTGAGTCAAACATTTTCTTGCTGTTCTTGAGAGGGTTCTCTGGACTGGGGTCTACAGCTGGCCTGGATATTCTGCCTTGTGCCCTAGCTTCCTGAGGAGGGAGCTGTGTCACTCCCAGGTTTGCGGCCTGCCTTCACTGCCTCTGACATGGCTGTGTCTGTCCCTTTTCCTCAGATGCATACTCTCATTCCTCAAGTGAGAATGGAGGCAAGTCTGAGTCCGTGGCCAACCTGCAGGCCCAGCCCTCCCTGAACTCCATCCACAGTTCCCCGGGTCCCAAGCGCTCCACCAACACCCTTAAGAAGTGGCTAACGAGTCCTGTGCGTCGGCTCAACAGCGGGAAAGCAGATGGAAACATCAAAAAGCAGAAGAAAGTTCGGGATGGTCGGAAGAGCTTTGACCTGGGATCTCCCAAGCCTGGGGATGAGACAACCCCTCAGGGTGACAGCGCTGATGAGGTACTTACATGGGGCCCCAGAGTTGTCCATCAGGAGGGCCTTCTGATATGTCTTCTTCCTCAGGTTTTGTCAACTAGGCCATCTCAAATCTCCACTAGTGTGTTATCTTGAGCCTAAGTGATTTGGATTCATTTTATTCTAAAGACATTGGCCAGTTTGATTTGTGGTCGATTCAGAAATTGACTAGCACCTAAGACATCCAGCGGACAGAAACGATTTGCCAGATTTGGAGATAGGACCTGGGCCTGAGGGGAGTCATTTGGTCATTAGTTCCCTACCTCTACTAAGGACTACATTAAAACCAGCTAGACCTGTTTATATTTAGAATAAAAGAATGAAGATTGTTTCACTTTGGAAACAGGACTATGCTGGAAGATTATAGCTGTTTTCAAGTCTCTTGAGCAGTGCCACACATCAGAAAGAATACACCATCCAGAGTTACTCCAGATGAACAGATGAAGATTACAATAGGCAGGGTCTCAGCTCAAAGAAAAACTTTTATCAGGAAGTCAGCCAATGATTAAATGGGCCTTCATGAAAACTAATGAATACCCATACTGGAAGGTTTGAGAGACCGTAGCCAAAGTTAGGCTGGACGAAGCTGAGATTCTGTAACCAAAAGACACTGGATATGTTTTGGTTGGGGAAATGAGATACCTGTTTTATTTGGTACACAATCCTGCTCTAATCACTGATGTAGCTAAGAACTTCTTTGTGATGTGTAACCGGACTCCCTCTTGTGATTTTATGCTACCTGCCATTTCTCCCTCTGGAAATGGCAGCTGAGCCTGGTGGCATTTTTTACAAAAATGTAAAAGGCTCTCTCTGACTACTTCCAGCTTTTTCTTTTCTTCAACAAGATAGATAGTTGCTGGTTTTGCTTCTTTTTGGGGGTGTGTGTGTGTTCCCCATTGGTGCTCACTCTCATTTGAAATAAGCAGGTGTATCCATGTTTCAAAAGAGGAAATTGTGACTGAACAGTTAGGAGTGAGTTGAGAGAGGAACTCTCCTCCTATGTATTATTTTTGTTAATGTCAAGTCCAGAACCATTGGCATGTTTAGCTTGTGACACAGTAACTAATGCTGCTCTTTTGTTCTAGAAGAGCAAGAAAGGTTGGGGTGAAGATGAGCCGGATGAAGAGTCACACACACCCCTCCCACCACCTATGAAGATTTTTGACAACGACCCTACACAGGATGAAATGGTAGAATTTCTTTCCTTTCTCACTTAAAAGAGCAATGTGCAGGGCGTGATTTTGTTTTCTGTGTGTGATGGGGGTAGTCGTACTCTTTCTCCCATGTTATCTCGTCCTCCGCATGAATCCGTGCTGATGTCAATTGTGTCTCTATTTGGTAGGTGTCCCTTCCCCAACCCTGGAGGTTCAGCTTCATTCTAGGCTGTGGAGGGGGTGTGTGCAGAATTCTCAAAGTGGGAATCTGCCTGGTGTCTTGTCCTGTTGATAAAGGGTAATGGTTCTGTCTTTGGAAGCAGCACATCCTGAAAGGAGCAATTCCAGGTAGTTCCAGTCCACAACCATTTTGTCATACCTTGACTGTACAACCTACATGTTAGTTGTTTTCCCTATACTTAACTCTAAACTCTAACTAATGGTAGCTACCAGTCAAGCCCAGTGTTGGTCAAATTTTGCAATGACAGTATGAGAAATGGAGATGCTGCTAAGGGGAAGTTATTGTCAAAGGTGGACAAACCTCATATGCGAAATTGCCTGTCTTTGCTTTGCAAGATTCCCTGGCCCACTGGCATACAGAGGCTCACTGGTATTTTATCGATGCTCCCTGTGTCTCCACTCACCCAGTGATCATCCCAATTGTTCTGGAGCAGAAGCGTGGGTTAGATGTACTTCCAGGTACTGACCCGAGGCTTGGGGGAGCTTTGTGTTCTCCCTCACTTGCCACTGAGTCTCCTTGCAGCCCTGCTTTCACGTCACTGTGTTTTTCTTGCCTTAAGTGTTGCTGATTCTCTTCGACTCTAGACGTGGAAGTGGCAGTTTTGGGTTTTGACTGTACGTCACTTTCAATTTGCTTTTTTGAGTGCTGTTTTGTTGCAGTGGTGGTAGTGGACGCGGCGGCTTGCCTACCTGTCCCTCCAGGCTCTCCTGTGCTCTCTAGTGTTCTGTCCTGTAGTGGGACAGCCTCCCTCCAGGAGGTGCCCAGCAAGTGTAAGCAGGAAACAAATCTGTGCAGTACCATCGAGCACACAATTCAAAAAGCACTGTCTGCGGATGTGTCCTTTCTGGTGACATCTCAGTTCTTATTTTAATTCTCTCTGCTTTGCATTTGAATTGTTAACCCACAGACATTAACCGAAGTCTTCCTCTGGAAGGCTGGAAGGACAGAGTCTAGGGACTCTGAGATGTGGCAGCTGCTCCCATGATGTGACTCACCTAGTCGTGGCCCTGTCTTCAGGGCCAGATCTTTGACTCTGGATCATTGGGAAGAAACATAATAGGAAGGCTGGTGTTATGCCATCCTGCGTTTCTGAGACAGAAGTGCTGGTGCTTCACCTTGAGATGGGAATGAGACCCTGCCTACTTGTAATGTGTTTTATAAACGGCGATCGTGGCCTGGGGAGTAGGGTGCCCATGTCTCACACAGCCCTCTGTGCAAGGGCCCTGCTTGCATAAGGTCACCACCCTCACTCTCTCATTCCCTCAAACACAGCTTGTTTACAGAAATGGATGTTACATTGTTTCTGGATAATTTTTAACTGAGAATTCTGGCTTACCTTTATTTGTGTAGCCTTTTCCTTACCCAGAAATGGGGCAGATGGCAACAGTCTCCTTTCAGATACACGAATTCTCCTTATTCCTGCTTGTTTGATTTCTGTGTGTTTTTATCAATGTTTGGGAGTGGGATGAACTTCAGAGCATCTAGCAAATGGAGTTGGATTTATTAAAACAATTTTTACAACACTGTCAAGGGAATTTTTTAAAGTTCACCATTGTAATATTGTGCAATTGTCTTCTTCATGTTTCCTTCTAATCTTTTTAATATGTGTGTATGTTTTACTTTTACAATTATAATATGCATATGATATGTCCAATGTTTTATTTGCTATCATTTCCTAAAATTGCATTAATTGTTTTCTTCTTAGCTGTAATTTTCATAGCTGGAGAAAACTTTGCTTATTTTCTGTTCCATAATGTGTTTGATCAGCCTGTTGGGGACATCCTAACAGGGTGTTTCCATTGCTTGCTACTATGGCTAATACTACTACATACAGATCACTGTGTATATAAAGCATTTGTTCTTTTGACTTCTGTCCTTGGAATAAATTCCCAGGAGTAGGACTACTAGATTAAAAAGAGGATAACTTGATTTTCCACATAGACGTAAGCTTTTTCCTGCCTTCCCCAAGACAGAAAAATAATATTATTATATCTTCCTTAATTATAATTATTTTCCTCCCATCTCAGAAGCAAAGACTTAATAAAGTAACTTAGATTAGATGAGAAGCTTCATTTTTGAAACTTTTCCTCTAACCCAAGGGGCACACTCAAAGGAGCCTGCGTCCTGGCCTTGGGAACACCACTGCCCTCTGCTCTGATAAGCTGGAAGTAAAAGCACACATGTACTGTGGGGGGTTAACCATTTCTCCCCAAGTTTCTTCTCAGGTAGAAGAAGGAAGAAAAAGCCAAACAAAAAACCACCGTCCTTCAGTGAGCAGGAAGCCCCAAACCATTGACCAAACAACCACACGGACAATTCCTCATTGCTGGCACAGGGGAAAGGGGACACAGGAAGGTCCTGGAGTCGTCTCTCTTTACTATGAACAGGATAGTTTCTGGCTGCTTCAGGACTCCTGCTAAAGTCTTTTATTACTTCCTAGTGTTCCGGTTCAGGGCCTTACCAGAGCCAGCTATGCTTTGTGGTGGGGTAAGGGTGTATGTGTGTCAGGGGCAGAGGGGGAGAGGAAGAGAGAGGGAGAGAATATAGGAAGGGAGTATCTAGCTTGCTGGTCGCTAAGAGTCCTGCCCCTAGCATTTTTGCTAGACACATAATAAGGATCTATATTTAAGGCTATAGTAAAGCGAGGACTGTTTCCCTTTTTTGGACACACTGGAGGCTGAGTTTATTGAATCCTTCATACCCTGAAACAGCAACGGGCAACTGTGTAGTGGCCAAAGTCTTGTTTGCCCACAGAGCAGTAGCCCCCACCCTCCAAGCTGTTGCTGTCAGTAGGTGCAGCCCTGGCCTGTAGGCCTCCCAGGAAGTCAGTGATTCCTCCTCTCCCCTCCTTCATAGGCTTACCTAAGGATAGCCTAGTCCCATCCATTTGCTGCTGGCTAGAATTTCTGATAAGGGGTTGGGCAGGCCTGTATTACACACACACTCTTCTCCGTCTGTCACCTGTTCCCTCTAAACACAGAACTTTGCTTCCCTTCCCTGCTTTGAACTTTGGACCTTCTGTTTTACTTCCTGATCACTGTTCCTTATTCCTTGCTAATCTGCTTTTCCTCTGCTGCCCGATGTCTTGCAGTCCTCCTCTTTGCTAGCAGCCCGGCAGGCTTCCACTGAAGTACCTACTGCTGCAGACCTTGTCAGTGCAATAGAAAAGTTGGTCAAAAACAAGCTGGTAAGTGGGGGTCCCGGAGGCAGTTCTGTGTGTGTCTCACCTCCACGCTGCTCCAGCCTTGCATCTGTCTGCCGTTTTCTCCTTTGCACCTGTCCTCATTCCTCCTATGTGATTGCAGCTAATGATGGTTTCTAAAAAACTGTACCCCAGAGTCCTTTCTGACTTTGTTTGGGAATGGGCATAGGGCATTAATAGATCGTTTGGGGGCTGCAGCATTGATGAAAGTTGAAAACTATCCAAGACAAACTTAACTCATTGCAAGTCTGATCCAGTGGCCCACAGGCACGTGGCATTCAGTCAGCGATTGATATGTATTTGGTTAGCCCAGAAGCTAGCGCACTGTGATGCTGAGACCCAGAACACACTGATTGGATCTTTGATAGCACTAGGAAATTTTATGAGGGACCTTGGGTGGCCTTCCAGCTTGCAAAGTCTCTCAAAAGTAGACTGCTGATTATAAAGGGGAATGGGCAAAAAGTGTGTGGATACCTCACCACAATAAATTAAGAGAGCCAGTGCCTAGCCCTACCATGGTGGGAAAAACTGAACATAAGCCACTGGCAGCCTGTCTGGCCTGTGACTGTCTCATTGACCCTTCAGCCGATTGAAGGGATAGGTGATGAGCCTGAGCAGGTTTGGGGTTTTGGCATAATGCTGGTGAAAGGGCCCTTTTTTGGATAGCTCATTAGGATAGAGCTGTTCCTCCACTCTCATGTTTTTACATTTAAGTGTGTCACCACAGAATGACACCTGGAAGCATTTTCCTTTCCTTCACTCTCATCCATATCACCCATTTAGCTTTTCCTGCAAGTCTCATTAGGATAAATGTCTGTGCTTCTGCCAGACTTCTGTTGGGCAGTCTTATTAATCACTTGGCCCAGGAGCTAGAGGAAAATGATGGATGCTCTCTATGGAAAGTTACCTAACAATTTTGACTAAACTCCCTTTTCAACTCCCTTTTCAAATATCCCAGCATATCCTGTATAAATGAGGTTTAATACATATGATTTTATTTTTTTTCCTGCTAAATTTTCCTTTCTAATTAAGAAAAGAAAAAAACCTTGCTGTTTTTAGTACCCAGTGTCAAACTCTTGAAGGTTGTCCATTTTCCTGCCATCTCTCCTTTTCCTACCAGCAGGAGTTAAGTATCTTGTGGGCACTACGTTGACTTTTCAAAGACCCCTCTCTGATATTTCTCACTTGCTCTCCCTTCCTCTCCACACCAACCCATATACACTCTTCATTCTACAAATGCTATATTTAATTGTTTTCTTAAAGTCATCCTTTTTCTTTCTTTTTTGCATTTTTTCTTTTACCATCTGAGCCTGGGCTCTGACTTCATTCCTGGACTATTGCAGTAGCCATTGCCTGCCCTTTCCCCACCCAGTCTGCCTTCACCCCAAATTGGTCTTCTGTAAACACTGCTTATTGCCTCCCTCTTGGCTGCATAAGCGGTGGTCTCCAATGTGGGGGTGCCCTCAGGTACATAAGACAGCTTACTGGGGTATGGGAAGAAAATATTAGAGCCTCTTTATATCATTTTAAAATGGTTTTGTATGTGTTTTCTTATGTATATAATGATAGTACAGTAGCATAGATACAGAATTTATAGACAAGTTACATGTTTGGGGGTGTATGAATAAAATTATTTTCAATGACAGAACTATATAATCAAAGTTTGGGAATCACTGGCCTATACATAAAGTCCACACTTATCTGATATTCTGATATTTTTGTAGCCTGTTCTCCAACCTGCCTTTCCAGCATCTAGTTATTTATTTGGTTGATGAACTCTGCTCCAAACAAATTATTTTCTCTGCTATCCTCAAACTCACACTTGGCTTTCTTCCCTCCAAGTTTTTGTTCCTATCGCCCCACTTCTCTGGAATGTTCTCCCTCTTATGTTTGCTGATCTAGAGCATAATGGTCATTCAGGGTCCTCCTCAAATCTCCTCTCTACAGGGGCTCCTCTGACCAGCCCGGGCCAAATTTCCATTGTAATCCCATGGTAATTATGAAAGCCACATACTGCCTGGGACAGCTCTTAAGTAGCTCTGTAGCATAATTTGTTCAAATATCTTAATGTTTTCATTTGCATTTTACCTCCCTAGCTAGATGGTAAGTCATTTAGGATTTTTTTTTTTTTTTTCTCTATTAGTAAAAAAAAGTCTTTTACACTTATTTTTATAGTTTGGATTACCTTTTGCTACTACTACTGCTAAGCTTTGCACTGCTGACAGTCTCTGGGCCACTAATACGTGTGATCTGTGCTGTTAAACATGGCTAGGTGTTAAACATGTAAGCAAAGACATAGAAAAGTCCCATCAAAGCAAATTTTCTAGAGAAGAGGGGATGTGGGATGGCGTTGGTGTTGATTGGCTTTATTATAGGCTCTCAATAAATGTCTGTCGAATGAATGTCCTTTCTGTGGTGAGTTTGCCATAATGAAGGATTTAACTTCTTCCAGCAATAACTACTCTTGAGGACCTACAGTAAGCCCAGAATTAGAGCTATCTTTGGCTTAACATGTAAAACCAAGCTCACGTCACAGAAAGGAAAGAGGAAGCAGTGGTTTGGTTTCTTAGAATCTTCCTACCAAAAGTTGATTCTTGGTCCTTTCCACCACTTTCTCTTTCTTCCCTTCCCACATGGGATAGCAATGTAACAGTACTAGGTTGAGAATATCTCAGCCATGCTTGAGAGCACTAAGTTGTATTTTCACCTTCAAGACTCTTAGTCCTATTCCTTATCAGTTCTTTAGCTTAGAAGAAGAAAAGATCCAGAGCCCATAAAAGCTCTGGAGTGTTTATTTGACTAAGTACAACTGTGTGATAGCTGCCAAGATAGCAAGTATTATCACAGGCTTGATTAGCGAAAGTACAATGTACAGATCAAGAGAAGCAATAGTATTCAGAGGTATTCAGACCATACACGTCATGAGCTGTGTGTGAATAATGCATTCTATTCTTTCCTTTTTTTTTTTTTTTTTTTTTTGAGACAGAGTCTCACTCTGTCACCCAGGCTGGAGTAGTGCAGTGGCATGATCTCGGTTCTCTGCAACCTCCACCTCCCAGGTTCAAGTGATTCTCATGCCTCAGCCTTCTGAGTAGCTGGGATTACAGGCACACTACCACCCTGGCTAATTTGTGTATTTTTAGTAGACACAGGGTTTCACTATGTTGGCTAGGCTGGTCTCAAACTCCTAACCACGGTGATTCGCCCACCTCGGCCTCCCAAAGTGCTGGGATTACAAGCATGAGCCACCATGCCCAGCCAATGTATTCTATTATTCTATTCTAAATGCAACCTTCTACAATGTTCTTGAACAAACTGGAGGGGCCCAGAGGAGATAACCAGACCATGTGGTCCATGTAATTTGAAGGAAAGTTGAGGAAACCAAGGTTAAGTATGGGAAGAAGTTAGGAGAAGACACAGAAGAGCTGTCTTCTAGTAATTGAAGCACTGCCATGGGAATGAGGTTGCAAAGAGTGAGTAACTCTTTGTTACCCCAGAGGGCAGAACCTAGACCTGTAGGTGGGAGTTTTCTTCGTTCCATATGAGGAAGAACTAATAAAGTTCTTTCGACTTTACAGAATTCAATTCCATCTTACAGGAGCATCTGGTATTCTTGGACTTTACTTAGTCCTTAAAGTCTTTGTGCTTTGTTGGTTGCTCAAGCCGTGGTGCCAAATTCTGCATTAGAATTCATTTGGCTTCCTGGCTCCACCCAAAGGCCATGAGATCCCCCATGTTCCTATCTCCCAGAGCTGCCCCCGGTGCTTTATGGTTGCATGGTCATTGTTATACCAAAGCTTCTGCCTTGGTGAGTTAGGATCACTGCTGCACAAGACCTACTGTTAAGGAACAAAGACAGGGTTTATCTGAAATGCAGATAAAACTTCTGAAGACTCGCTACCCACCAATGAGTCCTTCTGGATGTTAATGGGCCCTTCTGTGGTCTTGCCACCAGCCTTGGTCTTTAATCAGTGCTCTTGTTTATCAAGAAAGGATGCTCACCCATCTCCCCAGATAGGAAAAACATTCTTTTTCTGGGTTTTGCATTAAGGTATTATCTTTAAGCCAGGAATACGGCTCCCCCTGCTTTCACTGTGTGATTTTTAATAACGCCTTTTCTAGACCTGTGGACTGTTGCTGCTGGCAGTGAGTGTGTAAAGAATCAGAAGACCTAGGATTTAGTCCTGCCTCTGCTGCTTACTGTATAGTCCTGGGAAAATTACTTAGTCTACTTGGGGTTCTCTTTTACCTCACTTATTAGTGATGCTGATTCTGTCTATTCAAATCTAATCCCAAAAGAGTCATGATGATAATTGAGTAGGTACGAATGGGCTTTGTAAACTGATAATCAAGCATCTACAAAGGTTAATTCTTAGCCTCCTCAACTGCCTTGTGAAGGACAGGGAAAGGGAACTGTGTCATCCTTATCTCCTGTAGCTTGGTATGAAGCTGGGCACATGGAAACTTACTGTTTGCCAGCGATAGATTGGTTGGGTGAATGTTACAGAGTAATAGCTTAACAGTCTATACAATTTGGTTTTATTCCCCGAGTTTGAGAAACAAGGCCTTGAGAATCTAGTGTATCTCTAAACTGAAGTCCTGGAGCACCAGAATTCTACCATCTTCCTGGCATGAAAGACCGAGACTCTAGAAAGAAAGTCCCTAGGCGGGGTGTGGTGGCTCACACCTGTAATCCTAGCACTTTGGGAGGTTGAGGCAGGCAGATTGCCTGAGCTCAGGAGTTCAAGACCAGCCTAGGCAACATGGTGAAACCCCATCTCTAGTAAAATACAAAATAAATTAGCTGGGCAAGGTGGCATGCACCTGTAATCCCAGCTCCTTGGGAGGCTGAGGCATGAGAATCACTTGAACCCAGGAGGCAGAGGTTGCAGTGAGCCGAGATTGCGCCACTGCACTCCAGCCTGGGTGACAAAGCAAGACTCCATCTCTACAAAAAGGAAAGGAAGGGAAGGGAAGGGAAGAAG